AGTGTAGGTGCAAGGTTACTGCCAGCCTGGCTGAACCTCACTGACTGGGGAAGTAGGGACTGCTTTGTGAGGGCTGGGGATGGGGGGTTGGGCTACCATTTCCATATTCATCTTTCTGATCCCATTTTGACCCCCCCTTCTTGGGAAACCCCTTAAAGTTCTCTTTAATTCACAGCCCTATCCCCTTCCTTTCCCTTTTATTTTCAGTGGTATTATTGCTTTGCTGGTTTAATTTCTACGTCCCTGCTGGCCTATCCATCTGCTCTAAATCTCAGATTTGCTCTTCACTCTATCTCCAGTGCTTAGCACCATGGTGTTGAAACTGAAAACTGACAAATACTTTCACTTCTTAACTTCCACTACCGCTCCCTTCCCAACCCCGAATTACCTTTGAGGCTCTGACTAGGAAGCAAAAAGCCAGTGACCTTGGTCCCCTCTGACCACCCCCCAAAGTAAGAGCTGTGTTGTAAGAGACAGAGGCCGTTGCATGTGGCATTTGGCTGGAGTGATGTAACCCTGGCCTTTGAGATCCTCACGTAGCTGGAGTGTCAGCAGGGGCCCTGACATCCTTGGAGAGTCAAACAGAATTGGGTGATATGTCCATTCCTTGCATAACGAGGCCCCAGCCAACAGCTCTATCTCAGGGGGGATTCTTGAACATTAGGTATTTTTCTGAATCTCCTGCATCCAGCTTACCTGCTTCCTGGCTCTCTGCCACCTGTGGTGTTTGAGGTGGTCTCATTTTACAGCTGACCCACAATCCACCCAGAGAGTTTCCACTCCCTTACCTAAATTTTTCTAACTAGCGCTCATCCAAATCCATTCAGTTTCACACATCTTATTAAAGATTCAGCGTCTGTGTGTGGGAGTGAGGGATTATATAGATAACAGCACGGCAGGTTAAATTGGCTATTTGACATCATCAGTCTTAAAGTCCTCTAGGGCCCCTGTCCCTGGGCCCCACCTCAAACTAGAGAATGTTCCCTCTCTTTTCCCTTAGCTGCTGATCCACTTTACAGGCCTCTCACCCAGCTCCCCAACCTCCTCCTCTCCACCCTGCCTCACCTCTTCACCCTCCCATCTCATTTATTTTAACTACAAAAGGTGCTCCTTTTAAAAAATTATTTTATTTTAGAGACATTTTCCAAGCTTCTTGAAGTGTAACTGAAATACACTAAATTGCACATATTTTCAATATGAAACTATCAGTTTTGACACGTATCTCTAAGAAACAACCACATCTCAAACAAAATTTCTGCTGCCCCTCCTCAAAAGTCTCTTTGCACCCTTTGGAATCTGTTCTTCCTTCCATCCCATCTCCTGGCAACCACTGCTACTGATTTACTCTCTGTAGACATTAGTTTGTATTTTCTAGTGTTTCTCACGTATGGCTCATACAGTATTGCTATGGTTTATATCTCAATGTCCCCCCAAAGCCTCATGGAATCATGGGGGTTAATTTATAGCTAACTGCTATAAACTGCTGCTGGGGGTGAGGTCTGGTTGGAAAAAGTGGGTCACTGGGGTCACGACCTGGAAGGGTGTATCTTCCTCCCCAGCTCCTTCTTTCTCTGCCTCCCTGCCGCCATGGCCTGAGCAACTTGTCCTCCACCATGCCCTTCTGCCACATCTTCCCTGCTTGGAGCAGGATGACTCTGCACTGAAAACATGAGCCAAGGTAAATCTTTCCTTCTTTAAATTGTGAGTACCTGGGGTATTGTGTACTAGTGACAAGAAAGTATCTAAGACTACTATCTTCTCTCTTTTTGCCTGGCTCCTTTCCCTCAGTGTACTGGTTTTGAGACTCTTTGATGGTTGTGTTTGTATTAATTTCTCTTTATAATTGTATTTTTATAGTCCAATTTGTTTATTCATTTTTTTTACTGTATTAGCCTGTTTACTGTTACTACAACGAAATACCTGCGGCTGGGTACTTATAAAGAAAGAGGTTCACTGAAATCACTGTTCTGGAAATTTAAGGACATGGTGTCAGCCCTGTACTTACCTCTGGTGAAGGCCTCATGGTAGACTATATCACAATTCCAAGAGAGGAAGACATAGTATCATGAGACAAGGAACCAGAGCAAGAGAAGCCAGTCTTGTTATTTTTATAACAACTCTTTTGGAAACTTATGAAAGGTCCTACAGAACGACCATAATCCTTCTGAAGGCAGAGCTCTAGTGACTGCCTACTGGACCAACCTCTAAAGGGCCACCAGCTCCCAACATCATCATACTGAGGTCAAAGCTCCCAACACGAGTCCCCAGGCACAAACTCATACCATATCCAACCACAGCATTACTAATGGATCTGAGGTCTTTGATTTTTGACTATAACAAATCAAATGCCTAAGAACAATCACATGTGCAAGACTTTGGGTTTTCATGCCTTCTTTTATTTTCTTTCTTTTTCTATGGTACTAGGAATTGAACCCAGGGCCTCTGCGCAGAGCTATATCCCCAACTTTTTATTTATTTATGTATTTATTTTGAGACAGGGTCTCTCTAAATCCTTAAGTTGTATAGTCTGGGCTTAAACTTGTGATCCTCTTGTGTCAGCCTTCCAGAGTGCTGGAATTACAGCTGTGCCCCAGCACAGCAGGCTTCATGCTTTCCTTTCTCTTAAGCAAATGCCTATAAGTGGAATGGTTGTTATATAGTATGTGTACCTTTAAGAAACTACCACACTGATTTCCAAAGTGGTTCTACCAGCTTACATTTCCACTAGCAACTTAAGAAAGTTTCATTTGCTCTGTATGCTGTATGTGCTCATCATCATCAGTATTTGATAAGATTAGTTACTTTAAAGTTGTTGGGGGGGATACTGGCACATGTGGCTGTGTATTTGACACACTGTTGCTTAGCTACCTCCTGGCTTCATTTCTTGCTTTCTCTGTACTTTTTTCTCTCTTGGCTTCATCTCTAACAAGGAGAGCATATGCTTAGTTTATGGAGAATAAAACCGGATTATTTCTGTTGTTCTGGTAAATTATTAATAGTTTCCCTCTTAATTCCCAGTGCCCTGGTTTAGGTAGGGATACAGTTTCTCTGCTCCTAGCCAACGTGGCCATCCATGCCCCAGGCTCTCACAGCACACCCACATTCTCACCCACATGCGGCCCAACAAGGATTATTTTAGTTTTCCTGCTTTTATTAAACTTTTTCTTTTTTCCAGGACACAGCAGGATTTCAGGGAGTGGAGTGAGGAAGCCTAGAGAGTGGGTGGGAATAGTCTGGTGGGGCCAGAGCTACGCGTCCTTGCTGTCAAATGAAAATACTTTGCCAGAATAGGAAGCCAACAGTCAGGTGGACGCTGGCTTAGGGAGTGAGGCCATGCCTGAGGACCTCTTTGGAGCTGCCTGCTGCCGCGCTTGTTTTGTAACTTTTCCAGGAAATGCTTCTTTTACGTCGCCACTAATCTGACCTGCGCGTTACTGTCGCTTGGAATTATGAGGGTGAAGACCAATATCTGTGGCAGGGGACTGTGCCTCAGGAAGGCAATGGCATTTTGCCAAGCCTAGGCTGGCTTTCGCCTACCCTGAGAGTTGCTGTTTTTGCCACTCTGGCCCCTGGGATTCAGAGCAGGGGCGCTGGTCACATAGTTTGGATCTACTGCTTCAGAGGATGCTAAATGCCGGAGGTCAAAGTATTCAGGCTTTCCTGCAGGGTTTGTTTAATTGAATACTCTTGCTCTAGGCATCCACTCCAATGTGGCAGGCTTTTTAATCTTTAACTATATTATCATTTTGCAACGTGATCCAAAATATGGGGAAGAGGCCTGCATTTCCCAATAGCATTTCTTTCCTTTTAGTAATTAGACTTCATACATAGAAAAATATGTCCTTATTGACTCAGAATACTATGTGAGCAGCCCTACCAAAGATCTATGTGAACCCCGGAGATGTGCGAGCCTCTCTGGAACCCCGGAGGCCCCGGCGTTGCAGACGACGAAGCTCCTCGAAAAGGGGTGTCTAGGCCTTCGTCCTTGCGCGCCCCAGGCAGAGGAACAGCCCCGAGGCAGGGCTCTCAGGGGCAGACGAAGCACAACCAAACCTAGCGTAGCCCAGGAGGGAGCCCAGGATCCTCGCAGCAGACTCGAGCACGCCGCCCCGCCCCCAGCCCGCAGAGCCCCTCCCCA